ATGAGCAAGAGCGATGTATAGAAGGAAGCGTAGATCAAAACAGTATTAAATCTTGATTTTTATGTATGCTTACACGTCGCATGCTCAAATGAGCGGTAAAATCATCCCAATATTACAAACAACTTCTTAGTGGATGTAAACGAGAGGTGGGAGAAAGAAAGATAGTACGGCATACGTCGAATAAAGTATTGCGACCCCAGGCTTTCTTTACATTCACCTCCTCGCCACTCGCACGTATACGTTCGATAACTATTAGAATTCGCTTTTTGTATGAGGTGCGATGCGACCGTAGAAGCATTATTTCCTTCACCACGACGAAGGAGCGTTTATTAAGGAGTCGCTATTATAAAACGCAGTAACAATTTGATAGATTGTGATCCTTTGCATTCCCCGTGGCGCTCGCCCTCTTCTCGTCATTTATCCGGCAGTCCATTCTTTGATATGACATAGTGCGGACACCAGAAGAGGCATCGAGCATCCATTCGCATACATTTCGATATTTGTAATTTTCCGTGCCAACTTTCATTTCTTCTACACGTTTGTGCAAAAAACGTTTTGCTACCGCTGGAATGCTAGACTAATTTTTATTCATCCCAAGTATACTCATGTACTAGCCATAACCTATATAGATTGAAAATTTTACTTTCGAAGTTTAGTTTTCATTAGCTTCTACATAATTTAAGCTCTCTCTCTCTCTCTCTCTCTCTCTCTCTCTCTCTCTCTTCTATTACATTACACATTATGCATACGTAATTACGTATTTGCGTGCTATTGATTGCGCTGACGCGTTATTACAATTGTTTTTATAATAATGGGATACCGAACGCGTGACAGCCTTCTCAGTTTCATTCTTACGTTACCCCTGCCATGATCGAGTCGAGCTTTCCAATAGTAATTACCATTTGAAACAACACCTGCGATTTTGAGCTGCATCTAAAAAGTCAGTGAAGACATTTGAAGGAGGCCGCGGGTTAAATGAATTAAAAGACGGGAAAACGCAGTTGAAAAAACCTAATAGGAAATGCTTCGATCGGTCGTCAATCTGTTACGGGATTTTGAACGGCCGACGTTCTATTTCCGACATTATAGACCACCACATGAGGCGATACTAAGCCACGGAACGCGTGCCATGACTTTTTCGTTTCGCGATCTATACCGTTAGCGAGCTACGGCTAATTCGCTGACATTGAACTGTCTCTTCCACTTCTACCGCCCCTCACGTTCTTTCTCTCTCTCTCTCTCTCTCTCTCTCTCTCTCTCTCTCTCTCTCTTTCTCTCTCTCACGCACTGCCACTCTTTCAGAGTCTATCTCTCTCGCTCTCATTATCACTATGTATATTAAGATTGGTCGCAAAGCCGGACACTCATCGTCATTTGTCGAGGAGCGTCGCCAATCGTTGCTCGCTTCACTCACGTTATAGATCAACCTACATACAGTTTGGTGCCCCACACTTTTTATCTCGCGGATGCCTCGTGTCAATGTACCGACGGCCACATTTCTATCGCGTGCCCGAGCACGCGGCTAATTTGCATAACTGTAATTACTAACGCGTTCGTTTCAAATGCCGCACTCCCGGAGATCTTGACATTCCTACGAAATCTCGCTGTAATTTTTGTTGTATCACTAGCTCGTGCGATGATTATTTTATCACGATAATCAATATGCTTTCAAACTGTATTATTTAAAATGTGAAGATCATTTTCAAACGATATGCAATTTTTTTAATTATACATAAAATACATGTGTTATTTGTATAGATACACCAACTGTAGATTTGAAAATTTTACCTTTTTTATTTTCGTTGCAATTGAACACCAAACTTTGTTGTAAAATTCTTTGAAGTATACAACAGTACATTCAATCTATATGCAGTAAAAACTCAGAAATTTGTAGATGGCCGAATTAAATTTTCATCAGACAAATTATTATTAACATTATGTTATTATACATAAACAACTATTAACAATTCGAACTACAATTTTATTTTCCTTAATGTTTGTTGCATTAGTCTTCGTGAGCTGCAATGTCATATAATTTATAACCAAGTTCTTATATTGAATATTTCTTTAAAATATTAATTGCTTCTTAGCAAGTTTACGGTAAATTATTTAGAAAAGTGATACATCCCTAGACGATAATGCACACTTACGTTGATAATAATATCATTACATTTTTATAAAAGGAAATCAATGTAAGAGAGATAGATAGAAAGGGAGCGAAAGCGTAAGAATGAAAGTACTTTAGGTTTTTATATTGATCCCTATTTTCATTCATATATGAATCGAGTAATGAAGCCTGCCTATTCATAATTCATTATAAATTTATACAATACAATAAATTAATAATTGAATAAAGTATGGGTAACTTTGGTAATCATGTTTCAGGAAGATTTTGAAAATAAATTGCAATTCTATTACTGATGATATGATTCATGCACGTGTTAACTATAATATTGACATTGTAATCATCTATATTATATAATTATTCTTAAATAAACTGACATTTCTGGTGATCCTTCTTATCTAAACTGTCTTTAGAAATTAATGACTCGTTATGGTTAAATTTCAATTTTCACGCGTCATACTTATTAACTGATTGACATAAGCATAAGCATGTACGTGGGAGTACATTACTAGAAAATGACAGTGGAAACCGTAACATTACTTCTGCTTCACTCACTAAATCTACTGGCCATTGTTTCGTCATTTTATACCTATTAAATTACATTCGTTAAACTCTAATAATATAGTTTTACGCTTGAGTTTAAAAAAGTCTTGTATAATGTTATAAAATATTATGCCGAATAAATAATGGTAGACACAATAAGAATTAATTGTATAAAATATTAATGTCTGTACAATTGTCTCTGCTTAATGTACAAGGAAATATTAAAGTTAAACAAATTTATTAATACAGCTAACCCACAATACCGAATGAGCATGAGGTAAAAATGCTGTATATCAAATAATGATTAAAAGTGAGCAATTTGTTAGATGAACACGAAGCTCGCTTAGAAAAAAGAGCAACTAGTGGTACAGCAAAACTTTGACAAGAAAGCCCCACACGACAGATTGAGCCATTTGCCTCGGTTATTTATATACTCAGTTTGTACGAAAATCATGTATTAACATTTTCCAGAATTCTGAATACATGTATATACGTATTTTTTATTCTTTGCAAATTAATGAGTAAGAACTCTGACCCAATATGTGTAGCATTTTTCTCACGTTCATGACTACTTTCCGTCTTTTCTTCCCTCTTAGTATTACTGATGATGATTCCACGAAAGAACGAAGGAAATTGTGACAAAACTGTAAATTGAATATCGACCGGCACTATTGGAGGGACGCAGTGTCGTGTCGCCGACTATTAGGGCCGTCCCTCCTTTCGCACCGACGTTTGCTTGTGCCCTCAACATTAATATGCCTTCGAGACTCCCCGACGTAACAGCAAGTAATGCAAGTACATGCAGTAACGTAAGCATACTCGCGATTATCGACTTGCATTATTATGCGGCTAATGCCACAGCGATTTCCGAGACTAATCGATGAGTTTTAGATATGAGCTTGTGGAAGTTTAAGTGTGCGTGAATTGGATGATTCAATGAGTTTGCAGAGTATCAAAGGTGCTTTTATTTGAACAAAGGGAAAGGAAGAAAGACGATGAAAGTTGAACTATTTTAAGCTGAGCTCACTGAGTTGAGTTACTATGGAGGAATTTCTCTTGCGAATATTGTTTTTGGCATGAAACATACAGATTTTCATAAAATGTTTATATATATATACGACGATCTAATTTTGTGAGTTTTTGTGTTAATAATATACAATTGATAATTAAAACTTCTGTATTCGTGGTAGGATTTATGAACTGAATTGATTCATCTATTGCTATTATACAATTTCTTTTTATTGTATCAGTTTAAGTTTAAAGATTCTTAGGAATAATTAATTTATATATAATCTAATGTTAAACAAATTTCGAATATTATAATTAAATTAATTATATAATATATATATATATATATATCATAATATACATAAAATATTATACATATTTATTTTATAATTTATTCTTTATTGATTAATACAAAATTTGTTAATCGTTTTGATCAATTTGTATGATCTTACATTTTTATCTTATTTTATAATTTTATATTTTTTAATTTATTAGCATCTCAGGGAGCTGCAATCAAAGATTATTGAGTGAATTTTGAAATAATATTTAGTTAAAAATAAAAAACTTTGCAATTATGCTGTCTTTGGAATTATTAATTTTAAACAATATTAAAAATAAATAGTTAAAAAACGGTATAGAAATATATATATATATATATATATATATATATATATATATATATTATTTATTTATTAGGTACTACATTTAAAGTTTTCACAATAAATATTAAGTATTTGGAATTGTTACAATTTTTCAATAATTAATTATTAAAATTATGGTTAAGAAAGCGATGTATATTAAAAAAATATATTTAATAGAGTATATTTATTGCAACAAAATTCTGAATTTAAAATGAGTATTTCTTTCGCACACGCTATTGTTACATATAATTACGTATTGTACAACATCTACATTATACATATTGGAAACATAGTATTATATATTGATCACGAAGGTAATAAAGTTTTTGGTAAGAATTATCTTTTCAAATAATAGATAATTCCATCATTATGAATTTATGCCCAGACTATATAAATTTATGTCGCTATTGTGCTGAAACACATTTTTACACTACATTTTTGTCCTGTACATTCGTGATCCAAGGATTCGTGCTGTCACTATGTGACACGCTATTTCGCAATAAAATAATAGAAAGTTGCTCAAATATCAATATAAAGTGACAATAAAGTCACGCATATCTGAAATGTATCATTATTAAAGTCCCATTACATATAATATAGGAAATGGAATATTATTTAACAAGTTAATTTAATTTATACCGTAAATAATCATGTATGATACGCGTGATATTTTCTTAACTCACCGTACAAATTGTCGGCGTTTGGCCGTGTATTTTGTTGGCTCGTTCTGGCACAGCTTCGAATCTCTTCAAATCCAATTGCGGCTTCGTAAATGACGATAAATCGGAACTCGCATTCAAGTTGAGAACATGATTTCGATAAGGCCCAGCGAATGGAGTTTCCGGTCGGAAATACCAAGGAGACCACTGCAAATAATAACATTAACAATATCAATTTACTTTATAATTGTACAATTTTTATCAAATTACGAATGAAATTAAATTTTTAATCTAATAAATACATGCCCTGAGTTCAGTATGAATACAAAATGAAGCTCGACTGAATAAGATGGATACGCAAATGATATTGCCAATTGTTTAGGCCATTAAATAATATTAGTAAGTATCTGTCACAACTGGACGATGGGAATAAAAAATGCTGGATACTAATGGAATTTTATTCAGCAGCGCTAACACTATCCAAGACAAGCCCAAAGAAGAGCTTCTACTACGAGATCCAATACTATTGTTTGCCACATGTATGTGGAGTTAAAGAATAAAACTCATTTAGGACATAGAAGACTTTGAAGGACTCATCAGAAGAAAAGAGGCGACGGCGACATTAGTGTCAGTACTTGAACGTGGCTTCGTCATGATAGATGACGTAAGTCCCTTGACTCTTACCCGGTGAATAGGTCGGGAGAAGGTGTAAATGAGAATGAGAGGGATAAAATGAGAGAGAGAGAGAGAGAGAGAGAGAGAGAGAGAGAGACATTAGCTCAAAGAGGTACATGAGCTCTGATCATGCGTGTGGTCTTTTGTTGCATACATATATTATTGAAAGAGTCAAATAAGTGATGAGACACCATACGATGCGCATGACTACGTGTGCATAGAAATATTGTCTACTCCGATTTAATGGCTGTCAAAGCTGCTAGAAATATTTGTAATTAAGACATTTTTAAGGATTTATATGATATTTCAAGTAAATGTTAACACTAACTTTAATGAAAGAGTACTCATAATACTTTTGATAAACAATTAAAATTCTCTGCTCCTCTTCATTTTAATTATGATATTTCATTCCACTCCATATAAAGTATCCAAAATAATATTTACTTCACCAGTCATTTTCATTCATTGGCAACGAAATTCTCAACCTGCATTCGTCTTTTTCTTGCAATACTTTTCTCATTCTTATTATTGATATAGATGTAATTTAGAAGTACGTTCAACAGACTGCACTTTTAAGGATATGGCAACTACCATCATCCTTTATTTTCAATTTTAAGGGGACTCCATTGCTTTCACAGACGGTCTACACTTTCACCCGTACAGATGCGATTTATTTTTCACGTACCAGGTATGTCCT